AAATAAAATAAAAATAAAAAAATAAAACTAATAAAAAAAAAAAAAGAAACTTGCAGTCTTATTGGTTGAGGAATGAGAGAACAGAGTTCAGGGTGACTATAGCAAGTGAAAAGTGAGAGAAGATATCCCAGAAAGGAGAGAACCACAGAGGAGGAGCCCTAATTCTTTATATAAACCCTGCCCCAGTCTCTAGCTGACTGCTAAGCTATGCATGCACAGGATAGACTCCAAGTACCCTAGCTAGAGCTCAAATAACTGAATGAAGAATTTAGCTGCTGCCCAATGCAGAGGAGATAGAATTTGGAATTTTGGTTCTAGACAAATTAACTGCCTGCTAAAATGAAAAATCAATACTCTTTAGAGGAATGAAACAAAATTCAGAATCTCTACAACATACCATTCACAAAGTCTGAGATTCAATCCTAAACTACTATACATATGAAAAAAAAAAAAGGAAAATGTGACTTATACGCAAGAGGAAAAGCCAAAAAGGGAGACCAACCCCAAGATGACTCAGATGTTGGAATTAGCAGACAAGGACTTTAAAGCAGCTTATTTCTGTGCTCAAGGGCAGAGGGGACAATTAGCTTGTAATGAATGAAAAGATAGGAAATCTCAGCAGAGAAATACAAATTACACACAAATTCTGGAACTGAAAAATACAATATCTGAAGTTTAAAAATCATTGGATGAGCTTAATAGCAGATTGGCAATGACAGAAGAAAGTGCTGGGTAACTTGAAGATAGATCAATACAAATTAGCCAATTAGAAAAATAAAACAGATTGGAAAAAAGTAAACAGAGCTTCAGTGATCTGTGGAGCAATGTAACAAGGTCTAGCATATGTACAATTGGAATACCGGTAGGGGAGGAGAAAGAGAGAGAAGGGGCCAGAAAAAAATATTTGAAGAAATAATGGCTGAAATTTTCCCCAAATCTGTTAAACACAAATTTACAGATTAAGAAATTTCAGCAAGCCTCAAACAGTTGAAATACAAAGAAAAGCACACATAGGCACATGGTAATCAAACTGCTGAAAACCAAAGAAAAAGAGAAAATCCTGAAAGCAGCCAGAGATAAAGTATACATTACATATAGAAGAACAATGATATGAATTGTTGCTGATTTCCCGTTACAAACAGTGGGAGCCAGAGACAGTGGAGCAACATCTTTAAAGTGTTGGGGGAAAATCCTGTCATCCTGGAATCTTATATCCAGTGAAAATATCCATAGAAATGAAGGCAGAGTTAAGACATTTTCAGATAAATGCAAGCTAAAAGAATTCTTCACCAGGAAACTGGCATTATGAGAAATGCTGAGGGAAGTTCTTCAGGCTGAAGGGAATGATGCCAGATGGAAAGTTGGATATTCAAGAAGGAATGAAGAGCAGCAGAAATGGTAATTATGTGGGTAAATACAAAGGACTGTCTCCCCCTCTCAGCTTTTTAAAACTACATATAGCTTCTTAAAGCAAAAATTATAATATTGTCCTGTGAGGCTTATAATGTATGTAGATGTAATACATAGAACAGCTATAGCAATAAGGACGGGGTAAATGGAACTATGTTTTTGTGAGATTCTTCTGTTTTATGTGAAGTGATGCCTATTATCTATTGCTGTGTAATAAATTACTCCAAAACTTACCAACTTAAAATAATAAACATTTGTTGTCTCACACAGATTCTGAGGGTGAGGAATCTAGGAGCAACTTAACTGGGTGGTTCTGGCTTAGTATCTCTTGAGGTTGCAGTCAAGCTGTCAGGTGGGGCTGCAGTCTTCTGAAAGCTTGACTGATGCTGGAGGATTCTCTTGCAGCTCATTCACGTGACTCTTGGCAGGAGGCCTCCCCATGTGGGTCTCTCCATAGAGATGCTTACAGCTTGAGAACTTCCTTTCCCCAGAATGAATGATCTGAGAGAGAACATGCAATATAGAAGCCTCAGTATCTTTTATAACCTACTGTTGGAAGTGACATACCATGACTTCTTCCATGTTCTATTGGTCACAGAGATCAACCCTGATACAGTGTGGGAGGGGACTATATAAGAGCATAAATACCAGGAGGCTGGGATCATTGGGCTCCATCTTTGAGATTACCTACCACATCGTACAATATTAACTCTAGGTAGACTGAGAAGTTAAGGATGAATATTGTATTACCTAGAGCAACCACTTAAAAAATAATGCATCAAGAGAATGAGAAGACAAGCCAGAGACTGGCGGAAAATATTTGTAAAAGACACATCTGATAAAAGACTGTTATCCAAAATATACAAACAATTCTTAAAACTCACTCAACAATAAGGAAACAAACACCCCAGTTAAAAAATGGGCAAAAGACCTGAACAGACACCTCACCAAAGAAGATATACAGAGGGCAAATAAGCATATGAAAAGATGCTCAACATCATATGTCATTAGGGAATTGCAAGTTAAAACAACAATGATACTGCTACACCCCTATTAGAACGGCCAAAATCCAAAACACTGACACCACCAAATGCTGCCATGGATGTGGAGCAACAGGGACTCTCATTCACTGCTGGTGGGAATGCAGAATGGTACAGCCACTTTGGAAGACAGTTTGTCAGTTTTTTACAAAACTAGACATACTCTTACCATATAATTCAGCAGTCATGCTCCTTGGTATTTACCCAAATGAGTTGAAAACTTAGGTCCACCCAAAAACCTGCAGACAAATGGTTATAGCAGCTTTGTTTATAATTGCCAAAACTTGGAAGCAACCAAGATGCCCTCAGTAGGTGAATGGATAAGTAACTGTGGCATATCTGGACAATGGATAGTATTCATTACTAAAAAGAAATGAGCTATCAAGCCATAAAAAGACATAGAGGAAACTTAAATGCATATTACTAAGTGAAAGAAGCCAATCTGAAAAGGTTGCATACTGTAAAATTCCAGCTATGTGACATTCTGGAAAAGGTGAAACTATGGAGATAGTAAAAGGATCAGTGGTTGCCAGGGGTTGGAGGAGAAGGAGGGATGAATAGATGGAACACAGAAGATTTTTAGGGTAGTGAAACTATTCCGTATAATACTATAATGGTGGATTCATGTCATTATACATTTTTCCAAACCCATAGAATGTACAACACCAAGAGTGAAGCTTAGTGTAAACTGTGGACTTTGGGTGATAATGATGTGTCAATGTAGGTTCATTGATTGTAACAAATGTACCACCATGGTGCAGGATGTTGATAGCAGGGGAGGCTATGCCTGTGTGGGGGCAGGGGATATATGGGAACACAGTACTTTCCATTTAATTTGACTGTAAACCTAAAACTGCTCTAAAAAATAAAGTCTATTTAAAAAAAATAACACATAGAGACAAAGCTGTAAAGTCAATAGAGAAATTAAAAGGGAAAAGGCAAGGGGCCGGCCTGGTGGTGCAGTAGTTAAGTACACGTGCTCCGCTTCGACGGCCCGTGGTTCATGGGTTCAGATCCCAGGCGCACACTGACGCACCGCTTGTCAAGCCATACTGTGGTGGCGTCTCATATAAAGTAGAGGAAGATGGGCACGGTTGTTAGCCCAGGGCCAATCTTCCTCAGCAAAAAGAGGAGGATTGGCATGGATGTTAGCCCAGGGCTGATCTTTCTCACA